ATGGCCATGGTGGCTGCGAGGCAGGACGGTGCTGTGGGGACACACAGGGCACAGAGAGAGCAGAGAGTTAGCCAGGGGCTGCACTGGCCCCAGAGCTGTGCCAGGCCGGCAGCACCCTGACCAACTGAATAGTGGATTTGTCTTTCCAAACAAGCTGTGGGTCTGCTGGTGGATAAAACTAGCACTGGGAGATAAAAGAAACAACAGGAAGGATTCCACTGATTGATGAATAAAAAAAGATATTTGCTTTCACAAATAAATTTAGGTTTGTTGATAAATGAAATTACGCATTGAAAGATGAAAGAAACAATGGGGAAGAAAAACTCCTAAATTCTGCAAGAATTAAAAGTTAAAAGGGAGGGTTATACATTAGAGGGAAATCTTTGGTATCAGGCATATTGGGGAGTCTGAACCTCTCAAGTACCTCAGAAAAGGGGGAAAAACCCTAAATTCCATAAGAATTAAAAGTTAAAAGGGGGGTTATGCATTAGAGGGGAATTTCTGGTGTCAGGTGTTTTGGAAAGTCTGAACCTCTCAAGTACCTCAGCCAATGGGGAAAGAAAGAAAGGAAATGTGGTCGGGAAATTGGGATAAAAAGGTAAGCTGTATACTCCAAAAATTGGAGAGATCCCTGGGGAATGCCCCATGGCCTCTCCCTTTATTTGAATAAAGTAAAAGGGCTCCTCTGTCTCCTTTTGGGACATAAACCTCCCATGTTTGTGGATTAATTTTCCTAACACCAAGCATTCCCCACCTGAGCTCATGGCACCAATTGGGGACGGGGAGGCCACCAGCAGCCACCCGGGCAGCGTGGGGAGGTGGTGGCACCCAGGGCTGGTGGCACGGGGGTGATTGAAGCTGGGACCCCACAGTCCCGGGCTGGGTGGCCGCAGGAGCCCATCCGTGCCCCACTCGGGGCCGAGCGCGGTTTCACCTGTCGGGATCATTCATGCACCGAGCGCGCCGGGGCTCGGCCGTGCCTCCCCGGCAGCCGCATCTCCTTGTACAGTAAAGGGCAGGAGCGGCCAGGAGCGGGCTGGCAATGTCACTGCCTTCCCGGGCTGGCTGCCCCACGTGCTCCCGGGCCCCCGCGCTGTCCCCAAGCCGGGCTCTGCTGTCCCCAAGCCGGGCTCTGCTGTCCCGGGAGAACCGGCCCCGATGGCACCGCAGAGCCCGGAGCGGGCGAGCCGCACGGCATTGTCACCCCCGCGGCCGGAGAGGGACCCTCCTCGGGGAAACTGAGGCACAGAAGGGACGTGCCTTGACCAAGCACCCAGGGTGGCACCAGCGGGACCAGCACCGCGCTCTCCCCGCTCAGGCGGACCCAGGGCGTTCGGATCGGTCCTTACTCCTGCTGCCACCCTGGTGTGTGCCACCAACCGAGGGGTCCCCAGCCGCCACCCTGCCCAGGGCGGGAGCAGCGTCCCCGTCCCCATCCCTGCCCTGCCGTGTTTCTTTCCCCAGCACAGCCCCACGTCTGGAATCCGCCCCCGGAGCCGGGGCTGCCGCTATGGCCATCCATTCCCAACTAAAAATATGGACTACAGTCCATTCCCCACTAAAAATAGCCCTCCCGGCCGAGGGGACCCCGACCCCCACCCGGGTCCCCCCAGCTCCGGTACCTGGCGGGGGCGGTGGGTGCTGGTGTCCCACACCGGCACCGGGATCCCGGCGAGCCCGGAGCGGCAGCACGGGCAGCACCGAGAGGGTCAGCGGCCGCCTCCCCCCGCCCCCGGCGCGGTGGCAGCTGAGGTGACACATGTCACTGCTAAAAATACCCGCGGCGGTGGCACCGGGGCCTCGCCTGGGGAGAGGCGGTGGCACCGCGGGGCCCGGCTGCTCCTCGGCTTCCACACGTGTGCCACCCGTGGACACCTCTGCACCCCCAAAGAAACGGGGGAAGCGCTGTGGTTGGGTATGAGCCCGCCCAGAACACTCTGGTGCTGCCCAAGGGGGACAGCCTGGGCTGCGAGCCCAGCACGGGGCTCCCCAGTGAGCCCCAGTCTCCCCACCAGCTCTGAGATGGGGCAGAGCTGGAGGAGGGAGGACCTGGGAGCAGAGCCCAAAATAGCCCCTGGCACCAGCACCAGCGTGGTCAGCACCCGGGCAGGGCAGGTGGGAGGGGAGCAGCACAGGGGACACGTGGTGACCACATGGGGAAAAGGGTGACCCCCCCAAGGCACAGCAGGACCTGTGTCCCACATGTCCCAGCTGCCAACAGCCACTCAGGGGGCATGTCACCTGCTCAGGACAAGTCCAATGCACAGGGGCAATGTCCCCACCTTGGTCACTCAGCATCTGACCCAAAAGCTCCATGGACACACCCAGGGCACCGTCACCCGCTGCCAGAATGGCTCTGGGAGTAAGAAAGCAAACAGGATTGTCAGTCTGGAGTCCCCTGGCAGGAGAGCATCTCACCAACCCCAATCCCACCTGGGAACAGCACCAGGATGTGGTTTCCATGATCCTTCCCATGTGGCACTGCAGGGATGAGGCAGCCTGGCCACTGTTGATGGAAGGCCACCCTTGGTCACTGTCACACACCTCCCAGTCCTGGCACAGCCAGCACAGCTCACCTGCAGGACACAGCTGGTGTGTCCCTCAGAAAAACCAGCACAAACAGCATGCACAGGGCTGGGGGAAGGGACTTACCTGTGCATGGGGCAGTGGGTTCCATCCAGCACATCCCAGTACATCCCAGTCCAGCCTCACGGCGAGCGCGGGACGGGACGGGCGACACGGAAAGAACGGGACACCGGCACACACGCAAAGGACGGTTTTTATTGGGGTCTGGTCGTAGGAGAGCAGTTTTGTACTGACCAACACACAGAAGCAGCTTAGCTGTGCCAAAATAATCCGTTAAAAAAATACTGGCGGCAAGAACCGAGTGTGGCACACCCGCCACAACGGGGCTGTAAACTCCGGGACAGTCCGTGAGGAGCGAGGCCACAGCTCATGGCACCCTCCTCCCCACAATAAATATGGAAAGAGCCAAGTACATAAAACAAGGAATGATCTCATCGATACAATATCTAAAGTTATTTACAGATCCTGGCTTTGCTCACCGTTAATTAATTACACATTTTGGACAGGTTCTCTTTCGATCGTTTCCTTCATCGTGAGTAGCTGTTCGTGTGAATCTGCTCCTTTTTGTTTTAAAGGACCTGGTGAGGCACTGGAAGTGCTCACAAATCCCCTCTCCGAGGATGCTCCTGCTTTATTCTGTTTTTCACACACTTTTTTTTGGTGCCATCTCACACACTGTCTGGTCTCTCTCTCCCTGAGGAGAAGTTTCCTGCTACCAACAGCAAAGCCTCTTCCCAGCCCATCTCCTTTTCCAGCCTGGAAACACAGCGTGTCACACAAACCCAGACCAACCTGGCCCCTGGACAAAGCCACCTTCCTGCAGCTGTCCCCAGGTTCTCTGCCAAAAAATCCCTGCCTGGACACACCCCAGGGACAGCAGCACTGTCCCCAGCACGGCACCTTTCCAGGGGTGACACTAAGGAGCCACGATGCCACCAGCACTGCCAGCTCTCCCTGCCCTCCAGGAACAGCTTGGGCTACAGCTCACCCCAAAATCCAGTGGGATCAGAGAGGGAAATGGGAAAAAAAGGCAGAGATGACTCCAGGGAGCACAGCAGGGATCCCTCCCGGCCCCAGGCAGCCCCTCAGCACGGAGAGAGCTTCAGCAGCAGTGTGGCAATGGAAAGTGCCACATTTCACCCAGAAACGCCACAGGGATCAGCCCTGACCAGCCCAGACCCCCAGCCCCAGCACTGTGGAAACTGAGAGCACACCATGTTACACCTCAAGTACTCCTCAAACTGCACAGGCCGGGCTCACAACTGGAATTATTTTTAGGAACTGAGCGAGCTGATAACTTCAGGGCTATTTCTGTGCCTCACTGGGGACGGAGGTGCTGGGGATGGCCCTGCAGATGTGCCCAGATGTGCCCAGCAGAGGCAGCTCCTGGAGAGATGGCACCACAGGGGGGTCCTGCCTGGGTGTCACCCTCCCCATACCCCGAGGGACAGTCCCTGCAGGGTCCCTGGTGGCTGCCACCCCTGAGATGTGACACCAAGCAGGGTCCTGCCCTGGCCCTGGCTCCAGGACAGTGACCTGGCACTGCTCCTGCCTCAGGATCCTGCTTTAAGGATCAAGTGATCCCCCTGGAACACCAAACCCATCTCCAGTGAGGACACTTTGGGTCCTGCAGCCCAGCCCTGTGTCCGGGCTCTGCCTGCACTCTCTCCTTCCCCTGGGAATGCCAGAGCTCTGCAATTCCCTGATGCTGAGCTGGATCAAACACCATGCTGACTCCATGCCCCAATTTAGGTCATTAATTCTCTTTAACTCAGCACAGACTCCTGTGAATAAACAGTTGCTCTGGGAATGCTGAGGGATTAAGGAGAAATTTGGAAATATCCCATCAAAGGGGTGGATTTGAAGGAGTTTTCCACCTGAGATGAGCCTGGAGTCCCTGTGCTGGGAGAGAAGGGCTGCACAGGCTCAGGAAATCCATCCCTACTTTGTAATGAAAAACAGAATAAAGCTGGCTGATCCTGCTTGAAAGGAGCTGCCACTTCCATACACATATGGAGCAGAAATTCTGTGGAATGTCAGAAGTTGGAGAAACATGTATTTAATAAATAATATAAAATGCTTTTTTCTGTTAAAATAGAATTCTCAGGTTTATACCTACAGAGCATAGCAACCTTTACATAAACAAAATAAAGCTGAGTCTGTGATGATTAGTTTAACACAAAATAAAAATACAATTTAACAATAGTATTAAAACAGCCGATGTTCCATCCACACAATATGTACACCATGGAATAGAAACCAACAGGAAACAAAAGTAGATTATCTTGAAACTCCTCAGACATTTGGATATACATCTTTTCTCTGTATATTTTAGATATTTTCCTTTCTTTTTTTTTTTACAATATTAAAATTAATACTATGCTTTGTCAAAATACGCTTTTTCAGATTTTTTTTTTTCTTTAATTCGCAGAACTGACTCATTCCTTATATTAATCAACACCACTAGAATTATTTCTTGCCTACTGTACACTTCAAGCAGTCCTTCCCCTGGGGATATTTTGGGTGCAAACACCCCAGAGGCGCAGGAGCAGTGTCACTGCCACGTGCTGGGGGTGACACTGCCCTGCCAGGGGCTGCAGGACACGGATATGGACATGGGATCAAGGAACCTGCTCCCAGAGCTGACCAGGGAAAGAGCAGCTCAGAGCTCCAGGGGTTTCACTGCTCATGGGCTGATTCCCTGCAGACCCCAGGAGTGACGATGCTGGGGCTGGTGCTGCTCAGGGAGCATCAACCCCCAGAGCTCCTCTGGGCAGGGTCACAACCAAAACAAGTTCTTTTTTTAGCACAAACCTGTGTTTCCACCACCTCCACACTGGGCTGCAAACACCTGATTTATCCTGATTTATCTCAAAGCCAAACATAACCTCACAATTTAATTTTTGGGTTTTCCCCCCCTTGGTAGAAGTGGGAGAGGAAAATCTTCCACTGAGTTTCTAAAGGGGAGGTGCTGAATGACGGAATCATGGAATATCCTGAGCTGGAAGGGACCCAAAAGGATCATCAGAGCCCAAATCCTGTCTGTGCTCAGGGCAGCCCCATGAAATTCAGGAAAACTTGGATGTCACTATCCCCCAAGCTGCTGTCTCCCTACCTGCCAGGCTTCCCTTCCCAGACACACTTCCAGCTATTATTAGCCTGCTCCAAGAATTTCTGAAGCCTGCTGGGGGGTGGGGGAACATACCAGGAATGTCAATCCCAGCTGGATGCACTCCAGCATTACTCCAGCTTCTCTCACAGCAGCACTTTGGGAAGAACCCCTGAGCCTGCAGCCGAGGCTCTGCTGGACCGGGGACAAGAACACAAAAAAGCTCAAACACAACCAAGAGGAAGAAGATTTACACTTGGAGAAGTGGATGGCCAACAATTGGATGAAGGATTGGGAAAAAAAAATAAAAACACAAGAAACACCCCACAGTAAATGCTCCTTTAACGGTTTCATGAATTTGCAAAATAATTAGCAAATAAATGAGAGATCCTAAACACACAGCCAAAGACCCTCCTGCACATTAACACCACCAGGAATCTTTGTCCAAAACAAAAACTTCAGAGACTCTGGTTCCTACACCAGGAAGGAGCAGACTGGGGCAGCGTCCAGGATTTTTTGGTTTGGAGGGTGCAATTCCAGCTCTCCCTCCACACCAGCACACCCACACAGAGCCCCATCTCTCACTAGGATCCCACCTTTGTTCAGGAGTTTGTCACTGTGATAACCTCTCCCCTCCTAGCTGCACACTTAGATACAAGTCACAAAAATAAAGCTATTTTCAATTGTCAATAAATCACAGCTGGCTAAAGAAATCCAAATCTTTTCCTGCCCCTCCCACTGCAGGTTGGACGGGGCAGCAAAGACCACAATAATGAGAATATTCCAGGGCCATCCCAACCCCATCACATTTCAAAATAAAGGTATTTCCCTAAGACAATATACAGCCTTCACTTCATATAAAATCTCGGGGTCTGAGGCACAATTTCCCAGCTGATGACCTGTTCCTCCCTCACTGACAACCAGAATCTGCTGACAGGGAGTGAGAGTGAAATCCAGCCATGGAAAATAACTGAAAGAGAAGAATGGGACTGAGCAGGGACTAAGAAAGCAAAAACAAGTTACACAAGAACTGCGAGAAGGTTTTGACACCATCTGAGGGCTTTTTCTAAATCAAGGAGAAAAATACGAGCATTGCATGGTATTGTAGGGAAAGCTGAACCACAGCCAGGATGAGGCATTTTTTATCCCAAATATTTTTTCGATACCACACAAAGAATCATGGGATTATTTTAGTTCAGAAAAGACCTCCAAGATCATCAAGTCCAACCTTTGACCAGTCGCCTCTGACACTGCTCCTTACAGAGGAGCTGAGATGCTCAACAGGAATGACAGAGAGCCTGGTGCTGTTTACATAGAATAATTTAGAAAATAAATAAAGGGGGAGGGGAAAAAAAATCACTGAAAGAAACCACTTTCTCAGGGTGGGTATTTTCCAGAATGCATTTTCCCTTTGGTGCAGCCCCGGGTGGTCAGCCAGGGTTTGCACAAGCTGTGCAGCAAACCCAGCTCCCATGCAGAAGCAAACAGAGCCACTTTTACTACTTCTCTCCAAGGAACTCTGTGGTGATCTGACAGCCACACACGCTCGACAAACCACGCACAGCTTCTACTCCCACTGACACAGGCACAGCTCCACTCCCTCCAGGGACTGTGAGAGCTGCACCTCTGCAGCTGGGAAGAAAAATCCTCTCTAAGCTGTTCACTGAATTGGAAAAACAGCTTAAATTCAGCCCTGACCTCTCTCTTAGAAACCACCACAACACCCAGCTTGGGGAAGCTGTGGGACAGCTCAGGATGAGATCTTTCCTTCAGCAAGACTTTGCACCCTGATGCCTCAGGTGGAATTAACATAAACCTGGCATTTGATCAGCTCCTCCATGCTCAGTTTGCTCACACTGCTCTCACTGTGGGCACTTTGAACTCTTCAGAACAGAAAATGAGAGATCCTTTCCCAAGCTGAGCTGTGATATGTGCATGAACCTCCTGGGCTGGGCTCCAGGGGATTTCTAGGGATTTTGGAGGATTTTGGGGGATTTCTATGCTATGGGAACACACCTGTGTACAGCAGAGGAGCATCCCGAGTCCCAGGACTGAGGAGTGATCCGGGATACGTACCGAGGTACCCACACACACCTGAACCCAGCACATGCTCTAGAATGCACTGGATTTGAATCATTTCTTTTTAATTTTTTTTTTTTAAAAAGTGCAGTTGACCTGAAATGGAAAAGAACTGTCTTTTATGTTCACTGTAAACTTGTCAAAAGGAATCTGCTCTTTAAAAACTGTGCTAAAATAGTCAATTTATACAACAGAGCACTAGATGAAGCTACCATAAATTCCTCTTCACCAATTATTACTCTATTGTGTCAGTTATAGTACTGCATATACGTAGAAGAAGCAAAACTGGTGGTAGCTACTATTAGTGAGTACAACAAACCCAGGGAATAATTCGAGTTCAACGCTCCCATGAAGTAGCAATAACATTTAAACCACAGGACAGTTAAGGATTTCAGTACTTTGAAGTGCATCAGAGAGTCACACTGTTGATCATCAGCAGTATGGAGCAAGGTTATCAGAGAGAGTCAGCAGTAAATGCTCGGGGAGGACACGGCAACACCACAGAGCGAGGGGGGGCACCCACCACGGTCCGCCGGTGTCACCACGGCAGTGTCACCCCCCTGCCAGCCCGGCCACGGCAGGGACAAAGCCTCTTCCTTCATCCTTCCTTCCTTCCTTCCATCAGTAGTTCCAGAGGGACGCAGCCCCGCCGGGGGTGTGGAGCAAGGAGCAGCCTCGGGGCTTGGTGACCTCCAGCGCTGCTGCTGCTGCTGCTGCTGCTGCTGCCAGGGGCAGGGTCCCCCCCTGCTGCAGACACAGAGTCCTGACGTGATCCCAACGCTGTAAACATGGAGCTCCTCCTCCTCCTCCTCCTCCTCCAGGCACATCCCGCCTCCGGCACTGCACAAAGTCATTTCGTTCGCAAGGATTCTGGGACGCTCTGCAGGTTCACCAAGCAGCTCTCCCTGCGGGAAGGTGGTGGGTGTCTCCTACAGCCCGTTGCTGTTCCTGTGGCTGAGCGGGGGCTTGGACAGCTCCACCACCGTGGAGCGGGATTTGTTGAGGAACTTTGGAGCCCGGCGCAGCAACCTCTGGGCCTCGGTGAACGCCTCTGTCAGCTCCTTCTTCCACTGCACAAACTCGGGGTCGCTCTGCAAGACACACAGAAAGAGTTTGGCACTTTATCCAACCTGGCCAACAGTGTCATCTCCTGTCACCACATTTCTCTTCACAGAAAAAAGCAAGGCACAGTTCTTCCCAAGAATATTCCTGGGTTTCACACTCTGAACCTCAGAGAAAGGAAAAACAATTCTTATCTCACTTGCTACGCCCTGTGTTTGTTCACATTATGGAAGATATTGGTAATTAGATTCTGGTGTGAGTGTTCTGATTCACTGACCAAGTGAATCCAGGTGAGAGGAATAGTGGATTTATCCTTCCAAACAAGCTGTGGGTCTGCTGGTAGATAAAACCAGTACTGGGAGATAAAACTAGCACTGGGAGATAAAAGAAACAATGGGAAGGACTCCACTGATTGATGAACGGAAAAAGAGACTTGCTTTTACAAATAAACTTTAGGTTTGCTGAGAAATGAAATTAGGCATCGAAAGATGAAAGAAACAACGGGGAAGAAAAACCCCTAAATTCCATAAGAATTAAGAATTAAAAGGGAGGTTTATACATTAGAGGGAAATCTTTGGTGTCAGGTGTTCTGGGAAATCTGTACCTCTCAAGCACCTCAGAAATGGGGAAAGAGAGAAGGGAAAAGTGGCTGGGAAATTGGGATAAAAGGGAGGCTGCATCCTCCAAAAATTGGAGAGACCTGAGGGAATGCCCATGGCCTCTCCCTTTACTTGAATAAAGTCAAAGGACTCCTCTGTCTCCTTTTTGAACGTAAACCTCTGATGTTTGTGGATTAATTTTCCTAACACAGGTGTGTGTGTCAGGACAGTCACAAGATGCTGTGCAGGCGAGTGCAGTTGAGTGCTTGGCAGATTGAGTTTAGATGTAATATAATATAGTATAGAATAACATAGTATAATAAAGTAATTAATTAGCCTTCTGATACCAATGGAGTCCTCCTCATCATTCCTCGCCTTCATCAGGGGCAAAAATATCTCTGATATTCTCTGTCAGGCAGCACTTTAGGGAAGATATTTTAATTTTCCAAAGGAATGAGCAACATGGGTGCTGCCCATGTGCAATTCTTCATCACCCCAATGCAAGCTGGTACAATGTTTAGAGGATTTGAGCACTCCCCCTTCCACACATGAGCTCCAGCAGCTGCCCACAGTGAGACACGAGCCAACGAAGCCCTTGGAGCTTGAGAAGTTTGGGAGTTTTTAGCTATTTAATAAACCAAACTCGTCTTGTCCCAAATACCACTGAAATCCATGACAAGCTGCAGGTTTCCTGCTTTCAGAACTCAAGGGTGACAAACATTGGTATTTTATCAGTAACTAAGGCACTTGGCACTGCTCCACCAAGTGCCTTAGTTAACATGCAACAGGATGAGCAGAAAAACTTGTCAATTGTTTATCATATGCAAAACAATCTCATCAAGTTATCAAAAAATCAAGTCTTACCTCACACTGTAGGACAAACTGTTTTCCTCCTTTAATTCTCAGTAAGATGCATTTCTTATCTTTAATTTGTGTTTCTTCAACAGATACTATTTGTTCCATTGTCAGCAGGTTTTGCTGCAGCATTTGCAAAAGAGCAGAGAATTAATTGAAAAAAAAATGCTGTTGCCCATCAAATAAAGCCACTATCTCATTTTCCTGGACTATCCACATGAATTAAGTGATGAACATTAAATGTCATTATACAAACATTTATTTCTGAAGGCTGGGTCACGAACTAAAGATAGATAGTAAGGTAAGAGAGAGATTTACAAGGGGCTTGGTTGCTTCAATAGTGACAACAAAATATCAGTTCTAAAAGCCAGTAATGACAGCATGAAATAAGAATCTACAAATAGGTGTGTCTGCAAACAGAAGATTAACTATTTTCCCTCAAGAGTTGCATGTAATTTGATACATTTTTCAAGCATTACTGTTATTACCCAAAAAAAAGGCAATTTTACTACTTCAAAGAGCTGAAAGGGAATATTTCAGCACTGAATACTAACAAAGAGAACATACACAACAGTGTGCAAGAAAACTCTCCCTATGGACTGCAGAGTACACAATGTCTCAAATTCCAAATGCTTCCTTAATTTAAATATACAAATTATCTGCCCTGCACATGAGCACAGCTGGGCTATACTACAGCCACTATAGCATTTTCTTGGAAACAAAATGCTATAGCATTTGTCACCTTACCAGTTTGTGTTTTTTTGTATAAATAGTCCAGAGGTCCTAAATGAGAAACAACACCATCAACTACCAAAATCCTTTAAAAACACAACAAAGCAAACAAAGGATTCTCAAGACAACTTTACATCTTCTGTGTGCAGTGTAAGCTATGTGTTAACAACAGTGAGACAGGAGATACTCAAAGGGGCTTTTACTAAGAGAAAACTCTTTCACTAGGAGAGCTCCTGGGCTCTCCAGGTGTGTCCCAGCTCCACCTGGCTTCCAGCAGAGCTCCCAGGGCCCCTCACTCACCCGGGACTCTCCTTCTCCTCGCCACTCCAGCCGGTTGGGGAAGAGGTAAAAGTAACGCCGCTGCCATTGAGTCAGGAAGGGGTTCCCCAGCTTGAGCATGTAGCCATGCATGATACAGTCCTTCCCCAGGGCATAATCTAAACCAAGAGGAGATGTTAGCAAAGTGCCAGGAGATGCAGCTGAAAGCATTCTGAGAGAGCTCTGTGCCGAGGGGATGGAGCACCGGACCCGCCGTGCCCTCGGCAGGTTCAGATATCACACACAAACCCCCAGCTCCGCTCAAATCACACACAAACCCCCAGCTCCGCTCAAATCACACACAAACCCCCAGCTCTGTTCAGATCACACACTCAGCCCCAGCTCTGCCCTAACTGCACAGCTGCTGTGGCTGCAGAGCAGGGAACAAGGACAGGACTTGGCTCTTAAAGAAGTATCATCTCACTGCAGGAAGTTTTAAAAGCGCTGAATGTTGCTCTCCAAAGTTTGGGCGTTTGATGCAACACCCCCATGGCAAGCTGCAGTTTGCTGCGCAAAACCTCCTGGGGCCCTTCCCAGCTCCTGGGCAGGAAATCAAACCCCACAGACTGGGAAGGTGGGGAGGCACAGGGTGCCCAGAGAAGCTGGGGCTGCCCCATGATCCCTGGAAATGTCCAAGGCCAGGGCCTGGAGCAACCTGGGACACTGGAAGGCATCCCTGCCCATAGCAGGGAATGGGACTGGATGGGCTTTAAGATCCTTTCCAACCCAAACCATTCCAGGACTCTATGATTCCATGAATCTCTTTCCAAAGCCTGATGTCATCATTCAGCATTTCAAAACATTAAGAAACATCTTAAGCAACATGACAGCGATTAAACAAATCCTAACGATTCCTGGGAATGACGGCAATGGGAGAACTCCAAACCCAGGAATTACTACCTAGCAGCAAAAGATGAGAGAAGTGTAAGGACAGATTACCTTCCTCGTGGCCAAGCTGCTTATTTTTAGCCCTTTTTCTGGCCTCAATTTTATCTGTGTCTGCATTTACTGCATCATAAACAGTTTCTGCTACTTCTTGCTGCCAACGCTCCGATATTACCAGAGGGAAGTTCTTATATAACTCCTGGTCACTATCAAGCAACTTGCAAGAGAAAAACAACAAAAAACCCAACATTTTAATAACTTTCACTACTCTTATCCCCAACAGTTAATAGTTACCCATGCAACAGCATTATTTTACACAATGGATTGAACTGAAACCTTCACAAAACAAACAGATGCAAGCAAGAGAAGCACAGACACTAATTTAAGCAAAGATATTAATTTATGTGCAGAGAACAAGCCACCTGCTCAAAACTTGTTTCGTTTGATAGGTCCAAAATCCTCACTCAACACTACCCCAATAATGCTCTCTAGACATTTAAAGAACTACTCCAATGTAAGCAGCAGTATTCTTAATTTTGTTGCACAAAAACTTCTCCAGCCCAAAAACTCCATGAATAAGTGCAAAGATACCTTTTCCACAGCAATGCCTTCCATGCTTCCACAGCCTGCCTTTATAATCTTAATAATTAACCCTCAGAATTCATCAGCATGTGCTGCAGATCTCAAATGTACTGGAATAAGGATTCTTTTCTCCACTAATCCTTTGAGTACTTAAACTGAATTGCACTGAAGAAAATCAGGAAAAAAATTCCTTCACCAAAAGGGTTCCCCAGCACTGAGCAGGGCAGTGGTGAAGTGCCCATCCCTGGAGGAGTTCAAAGCTGTGTGAATGCAGCACCAACAGCTGCAGGAGCAGCTTGATTCTCCTGCTGCAGTCAGGCCAGGCACTCCTGGAACAGATATTCTCCTTTTCAGAGATCCACGCTACATCCCAGCAGGAAAATACACACCTAGAAAATCTCCCTGTGGCACCCAAAGAAGGGGGAACAGCCACAGGCATCCCTGAGGGCTCCTCACTCATAACCCAAAGTTCATGGGCTCTTCTGGGGCCCACAGGACATTCTGCAGGATAAATAAAACCCAAGGGAGCAGGGAGGAGAGCAAGCTTGGTGGTGCCCAGGGCTGCTGGCACCTGGCTGGCAGCTGACTCAGGCAGGAATCCTGCTGTCCCCTCTGGAAGCCTGTGACACCCAGAGGGGCTCTGCTGTCCCTCCCTGACTCACCCCCAAGGGTAAATTTATCCCCTGTGCAGCCCCAGCTATGAGATTCTGAGATCAAACTGGACATGACACAGCACTGACCTGCTGGTGATTCACATTCCAGGACAGCAATCATGTTATTGAGAATCTCTGAGCCTCCCAAGAAATAAAAAGGCTCCCCGGTTCTTCCTTGCAAAATGTTCCTCTGAATCCTGGCACTGCAGAATTACAGGAGACTGGAATCCTGCCAGGCTAACACTGATGCTGAAGATGTGGAATTTTCTGGGATAAAGAACATCCTGGGCTCTCTGCACTGTTCTGTGCCAACTTCTGTCACCACAGCAGGTGACACTGACAGACGAGCTCCCTTTTAGGCTCACTGAGTACTTAATGGGGCTTTTTCCTTATAAAGTTTAGAACAATTAATTTCCCTCCTGACTCACTTCTGTAAGAACAAGAATGAGATCTGTTCTACTGCAGAAATGGGTGATGAAAACAATGAAGGGCACTGACCCAAGCCCTGCTGCCCCAAAGTCCCAGGGAAACTTCAGACAGTGGAGGAATCCACAGAGCGTCACCCCCTTTATGTGAGTCCCAAAGGGGCCAGCAGCTCTAACTTCTGTCTTTTTTTATATAATTTATATTATTTTAATTAAATTTTGGATAATATCAGAACCTGAAAATTTCTTTTACCACTTTTCTAACTTATGACATTGCTACTATTAACACATTTTGTCATTTTTAAGGGTTTTCCCCAGCACTCTCTGACCACTCAACTATTAAAATAAAGTTTAGCTCCATTTCTCCAAGTTACCAGAAATAAATCCCAACTTTTAAACACACAAACCATGAGATATTCTTTAAAAACTGAGGCTCTCTCAATTCTTTCCTGACCATTTACTTCCTTCACTACATAAAACTTTTGGTAAGAAAGTAGATTTCAGTCAACCTAAAAACTTCTTGGCAAGCAACAACAAACAGGGGAACCAGCCCAAGGTACCAGCATGGACTGATTCTCCCAGCCTGAAGGAATTCCTTGCACATCCAGAGCCCTGAAGCAAAGGAAATGCCACACACACATGGAAAGCCGAGCAGAGCAGCCCCAGTGCCACCCTCCAGCACTGAGAGTTGGGTACCTTAATGCCTTTAGTGTCCTCTTCATCAAAGGAGCCAATATCAAAAGCATCTGCTGCATTGACTTCTCCCCGGGGAGGAATCAGGGGGGGAGGGTACTGGAAATTGAAATCAGCATCATTAAAGACAAATTAATGGGTATTATTTAACTCCACTCTTCATATTTTTTGCACAGATTACACCTGATTGTGCCAGAGTGCCCCCCTTGGAATTAAACTTCAGTGCAAAATTGCTGGCACTTCTTTTAATTAGAGCTCCTTCAAAAATCTGGGGATAAAAGCCCCCAGTTTAGAGACAGCAAAGGAAAGGAAACATGCAGTCATTTGAGCCTGGAAATGTTAGTATTTATTCCTAACAATCAGGAAGATCTGTGGTAATGAATATTCATCAACAACCCTTCCTGTATTTGTGTGAGTGAGCACTTGTGCTGGGCACTGTGACCTTCAAGTTTTCTGCTCAGTACCTGTTTGGGTTTATTTTCCTTCTACTGCTTTACCAAGTCAGTTAAATTACTGTCTTTATCCTTTACCTTCTGTAAATAGACTTGCTGCCAATCAATGCCTTTGAAGAAAGGATGTTCCTTTACTTCTTGTGCGCTGCAAAACAGAAGTGACTGAAGTCAACAAAGGAAAGGGCTTTTAAAGTGCATTCAAGGAATACAAAGCCCTCAAAGGTCACACTTCTATCACTTGAGAACATCAGGGAAACGCTCTTTTTTGCAAAATAAAATATAAGAATTCCTCAGTAAACAACAGGAGAGAAGATCTGCAAGTGGAAAGATTTGGAATAGTGCTCTAGGGCTGGCAGGCAAGAACTCCTGATGGCACTCCATCATTTCCAACAGCAAACTAAGTTTCTCTGTTGTCAGATGCCAAACATGGACCTGGGTCAGATCCCAAAAATGCTCTGGGTCAGATCCCAAACATGGATCCAGGTCAGATCCCAAACATGGCTCTGGTCAAATCCCAAAAATGCTCTGGGTCAGATCTCAAACACGGATCTGGGTCAGATCCCAAACACTGTATGTAAATAACCAGATTACTCCACATTATACAAATTTTATAAGAAAATAGTCAACTACTCTTGTTATCTCTCAGGGAAAAGCAATCTCAGGTCATTATCAAAGAGGGCTCCAAAACAAAAATCCTCTGAATCTCCCACTGGAATTGGAGCCAGCCCCAGGCTCAGGTGTGGCCATCTACCTGTTATCACACATCCCAATGGTTTCTCAACACTTGTTTACTCCTCTCCTTTTCTCTGTCAGTCTCACACTGGCTTCTTAAGCAGGAGATAACAATTTCATGAACAGCTACAGGTGAGCCTGGCAGGAAGCTCTTTTCCTCAGAATAATCAAGTGACAAAGGCAGCACCAGAATATTCGCAGCTTTTGCTTGGTGTTTTTGGGATTGTTTTTTGGTTTGTGGTTTGGCTTGTTTTTTTTTGTAATATGCTCCTATCATTACAGATACAATATAAGCAATAAATTTTCCCTATCAGTATGTCTGAGTCAAGTCATATGATTTCACGCCAAAACAGATCAGGCAAAACCAGAAAAACAACCGAGGGATGAGAAGCAGGAACACCACCCAATGCAAGCATGACTGCAGGGAACTCAGGGAAAGGCTTTAAGGACAGAAATTGTCCAAAAAAACATGTCCAAACTGAAGGAATCTGAAATGTAATTCCATGCAGCAGCACTTTGTAATGTTCTCTTTCCAAAATTAAAATCCTCACAACAGGAAGCAGATTTTTACTTGAAATGAATTCACTCATTGACAGAGAAGTGGAAATTTTTCAAGGCAGAGGTCCAAGGAGAAGACAACACCTACCTTCTTCCTTGGCATCCAAGCCTCTTGCTCACATCCCTCTGCAGGAGCCCTTCCAGAAGGGACTTCAGCTCAGGAGAAAAGGAATCCGGGAGCTCCACGTTCTGTGGGGAAAGGAAACACAAAGAGATATTCCATGATGGAAGAGGTGTGCTCTGCCTTCTTGCCCCTGCTGGTGTTTGGAAACAGCTCTCCCATGAGCAGATAGAGAGAGCAGGGGGGTCAGTTCCAGTTTTAGGGGGAATGGGAGCTCAGGGAACACGGGGATGTCACTGGGGCCAGCCCTTACCACCGTGAGCGTCATCCGGTCGATCTCGTGCTTATCTTTGGTTTTGTGCTGCCTGAAAGGGCTGTGCCTGCGGAAAGAAGAAAAAAAAATGCTAATAAATAAATGTAAAGCCTCAGCATATCAGGGTATTTCAGCTGTGGCAATGCCAGGAAAGAGCGGAGCATCCTGTTAGTCCCATCCTTCCCCCTCATCCCTCCTGTCCTGCAGAGCAATCTGATCCACAGGAAGGTGAGCAGAAAGTTGGGTAATTCTTCAACAATGATCTGGCCTTAAAGATGTGCTTCAAATGCTTCACTAATTACATCTATCTCCCCCAAACCTGAACAGTTTTCAGCTAACAAGGAAACCCTGAGCAGCCATCACCCACAGGGATTTAAATTCGATGATTTCTATAAGGAGGGTGAGCATGACCCACTGAACTCACCATTCTCCAAAGAGATAAGAGATAACAGATCCCACAGCATGAGCCACTGGGAAGATTTCTGATGGTATCTTGGAAATTATCAGCTTCATCCCTTTCCTGCTTTATAATTCTGCCTTGAATTTGAATTTTCCTCTAAGCTATGGAAGACTGTGACCCATTAGAGATTTATCACACAGTCCTCCGTGAAAGAAGCAGTATTGTTGTAACAGATATTTTGATTATATTTAGGATATATTTCCTGCTTATTTTCTTTAAAACCTTGAGGGGATGATGTTTTTCACAATCAAAATGTTACTCACTTATCAATTCCATTAATTAGCTATTCTAAAGCATTCTGCCTTACCACATGGCAGAGTGTACCAGCATGTTTCAACTGGAGACCTGCTACTCCCAAGTTATTTTCCTTTTATTCTCAAAAATGTTCTGATTGATGAATGCAATGGATGGACCAGGACTTCAATTTTTCTCTTTTCAACATGACAGGTAAATGGTTCCCACACAGCCTCATGTACTCTGACAAGAAGGCTCTGAGTAGATCAGGGAAGAAAATGATTCACTGGCGACTTATGGGCAGATTCTGTGCCAGACTAAATTTACCAAATACCAAGAAATGGCACCATGTGCCCAGCCCTTGTTTTGGGATGTGCCTAATTGGTTTCAGAACAGATGAGGAATGAGAGTTCTCTGTGAATAATGCTCTGGCTTCTGGCTGAGCACTGATACCACCCTGAACATCTCTGCCAGGGACAATCACAGCCCAAAGACTGGCAATTTAAACACCACTTCTTTCTTTATTTGCACTCTTACATGGTCTGCTTTGTGCACAATTAATGTTAAATTGATACAGTTCTAGAGTTCAATTCACAAGTCACACACTGACCTTCCTTTGTGCAGTGTCTGCATGGAGATAAAAGCTTATAATTAATTATGTGTGAGGACACAGGATGACCTAATGATCAATCTTTACAGAGAAGCACTGTGAAAAGCCTCAGATTTCTCCTGGTTTGCCATTAACAGTGAGGATGCCATTTTCAACAAGCACTTGCCCATCAGGGCTTGGTGACTGCTCAGATAAATCCCATGGCATTAATCTATTCTAAGTTTAATGAGCTGACAGAGCTGTAATTATCGTGTACCTTTGGACACTGGTTAGGTAACAGGCCAGATTCAGCAAATGGAAGGACCCACACCTTGTACCTGGCCCAAACCCTGCAGGAGGGAAGGCTGAGTAGCACCCAAAGAGGGACCAGTGCAGCCAAGAGCTTCTCCACAACACCAGGTCCCAACACAAAGCCCATGATTTAACAGGGCTGCCTAGAGCACTCCAAGGAGCAACACACTTAAAACACTGCCAGAGAGGAGCAAACTGCTGTCTGCAGTAGTGCAAAGAGCAGAGAAAAGTGTCTTCCTCATGTCCAACACCTGTAGCTACTACAGCATGTTTGGTTTGGAAGAAAAAGCCTGGTTTGTCACACATGGGGCAGCACTGAGGGATCACTTCAGCCAACCTGTGACACACCACGTCCTGCTATTCCAAGGGACACCCACAGAGGCCCCCAGGCTCCCACAGGCAAGGCAGGAGCCCCACTCACCCCCTCAGCAGCTTGAAGAGCATGCAGCCCAGGGAGAACCAGTCAGCACTGCTGTCGTAGGCTGTGCCCTTCTGCAGCACCTCGGGGGCCATGTACCCGTGGGTTCCTCTGCAGAGCACAACAGCACAAAGCACTCATTACACCCAACATTATCACTGGGGGAAAAATCATTAAAAATCAGTATTCTCTCAATAAGACAGCCCAGTTTGGAAATAATTCATTTTGACCATTTAATTTTGCTTCCAATGGGTTTTTTGTGTCACCTGTGTGAGCACAGGACACTCCTGAAGTCACCACAAGAAGCAGCCACCAGGTATTGCTTTTACCCTTGACATGTTCAAAACATATGGACTTTTTTCAAGAAGCTACTGATTTGCAAATCTCTTCAGGTGTGACAGGCTGGAGTTTCCCTTTTTGCATAAATTCCAAGACTAAATCAGGTCAATTGAGGAGCTAAGAATGAAACGTGCCAGGTAAGATGTGAATCCACACCCAACTCCAGGAATTCAGATCCCAGTTAAATCCTCATGGTGAGAGGCAGAAAGGAACAAAATTTGCCTCCAGATCCATGAAGATCCAGAAGGAGAAAGACACAATAAATCCAGGATTTTAGTCGGGTTGGGAATATTTAATTACCAGGTTGGGACAATTAAAGCAATCTGGTACTTTAACTCAGTCAGGTTCTTCTCTGAGCAGTGAATCATCCTGAAATAATGTGTCATCTCCCAGCCATGCCTACACATCAGCTGCTACAACTGTGCAGGAAAACAGGGACAGGAGCCCAAAAAACCTCATTAGAGCCACCAGCTCAGCAAGCCTGGGCCACACAAGTGTCATTCCTCCCCTTGAGGCAAAGTTAAGTTATAAAGACAAATTCAGGATGGATTTAGCACTACCTGCATGTGCAGCTCCCAGACAGAATACTTACACACTGGCATGTGGCTTCTTTTTGGAAAAGTCACAGGCCAGCCCAAGGTCTGATATCCTCACGTGCCCATGTTCATCCAGCAGGATATTTGCAGGCTGGAAACCAAGAGAAGGAGGTGAGTGCTTGGTATTCCCCAGCTGACAACTGCAAACTCTCACAGCACAGCAACTCAAACATCAATACTCCCTGGTAATTGGTAATTGCCTTCTTTTATTTAACATCAATATATACCAGGCACTTCCTAGATAAAAATCCACCATCTCACAGAGCACCACCATCAACTCCACAGGTTATGAAATACTGAATAACAGAAGGGAATAACCAGGCAAGGTCTGAACACAAAGCAGGTAATAAATGTATAATCCATTCTGGTCTCAAGTTGTTTTTGGTTTCTTCACAGCAGGGTCTGTGTGTGGCTCTTACATCTTTTATTCTAAGTCTCTGGGCAGATTTTCATCCCCTTGTGCTGCCACTTTGTCCAGGAACTCTTCTCTGGAACCTGTCCTTGATTTCCCAAGTGTCAGTGAAATCCCTCAGCCTGCTGTTGTCCCCCATCACACACACAAATATAGAAATACAGTAAATTATTACAGTAAATTATCCTCTAAATCATTCTCCCATCAGGGAGATCAGTAACACCTCACAGGATTTACTGTGACCCCCAGGAAGCCTCTCCCAAGCTGGTTAAACTGGATAATGGCACAGATTAGAAGGACTTTGAAAACTCAGTACAAAAATCTGGCAGATAAAGAAATAATCCTGCCAAGGAAAAGCTTCAGGAAGGGTAATCCATGGGAGTTTTCTGAGGGGCTGTGTGGATTCTGTGTGGATTCAGGCACCCACCAAGCATTACCTTCAGGTCTCTGTACACCACGAAGCGATTGTGCATGTGCTCTAAGCCCAGGATGATTTCAGTAGCATAAAACCTCATCTCTTTTTCAGAAAACACTCCGTGCTGGGAGAGGTGGTAGTGCAAATCTCCTCCTGAAATGAGAATTGAGATGTAATTAAGTGAACAGTAAAATCTTACCCTGCAGGCAGACAGGGTGACACTGTGGGGGAACAGCTCAGCTTTTGTAGGTTCTTATTACCTGGAGATCACACAGCCCCACCCTCTGCAAATCTGTGTGGTGACAAAACAGCTGAGAAAGTTCATACAGAGATTTGATCAGTCTGAAACTCCATTTTAAAATGCATTTATTTCATAAACATTTGCATTCAGTGACTAATCCAGCAGAGGATTTCCACAAAGGCTGTACCACACATTGGCTTGTGGAGAGCAGAATAAATAGAGCAGCCCAGGCTTGAGGGACCAACCATCTCATCAATCCTCCTGCCAAAATTTCTGTAACATCATCATCATCATCATCATCATCTGAACAAGCCTTGCTTACCATTCATGAGGTCCAGAATGAAGCAGAGCTTGTCAGGGGTGTGGAAGGCATAGGTCATACAGACTATAAAAGGACAGTCCTGCAAGGCAAGAGCAAAGAGGTTCACCTTGGGCAAAAAAGCAAAGTGTGACTTAGGGAAGCTAAAAATACAGCTGGTATTTTTCCTGTGCTATTTGCCAGTATTCCCAAGTTCTCTCCTGAAATTCAGCTTCATTGGTAACCCCTGTCCCCCTGTGAGGGCCCTGCTTGGGTGACAGTGAAGGTGTTTGGCCCCCTAGCAGTATTTCCAACAGAGGATTGAAGGAATGTGAACACACCAGGCAGGAGCTAGGATCCTGGAGCATTACAGCAAATCCAGATCCTGCAAAACCCACAACACAAGGGCTGTGGGAGCAGGTTTAGGAGGTCAGAGCAGCCAGGTGGGTTACACCTCACCCCCTAATGCACCTGAACCTCAATTCACCCCATTAAACACAAGCAGCCATAAAAAATTTCACTGGAAAAACACATCGTTGTTCCCAAAGTCTGCTCATGTGCTGGTACCTCCATAGCACACACTCAAAACCCCATGGCAGCAGCTGGCAGACCTTCCTCTGCACCAAACCCGGATACAAGGCTAATTCAGAAATATGGAATTGCTGAGGTTGGAAAACCCCTCTGAGACTGAGGGATTCAGCCAAGGCCATCATTAATCCATGTCCACATCTGTGGCATTCACATTCTCTGAAAAAATTCCTTCACCCAGGGTTTTTCTCCTGGGAAGCTGAGAGGCAGCAAGAGAGGCTTCAAAGAAAAGGAAAACAATTCTTATCTCATTTGCTTCTCCTCTGTTTTGCTTGTCTGGAATGTGTTTGGAGATTGTTTACTCACAGGTGATTGTTTCATTGGATTTTGCTGTGAGTTGTTTTCACTCTTTGGCCAATTGGGACCAAGCTGTGTTGGGACTCTGGAATGTCTCAGCAGTTTTCATTATTATCTTTTTAGCACTCTGTAAGTATCCTTTCTGTATTCTTTAGTATAGTATAGTATTCTTTAATATAATATAGTATAATAAAATAATAGACCATGGAGTCAGATGCATCATTCTCTCCCCTGGTCAGTGGAGCTGCATTTACAACCCCACATCCACACATCTGTTAAATCCCTCCTGAGATTTGACTCCATCATTGCTCTGGGCAGCTGTGCCAGGGCTGGAGAACCCTTTCCATGAAGAATGGAGCTGCTCTGGCCACATTATTGCTGATAAAAGCCAGGAGGCCCTTGGCTAATGACCAGGGGGTGGCTGTCACCTCCTCAACTTCTTCTCCAAAGCCATATGGGATGGAACCATGGAATGCTTTGGCTTGGGAGGGACCTTAAAGCTCATCTCATCTCATCCCAAGCCCCTGCCATGGGCAGGAACACCTTGTGGTACCAAACCAGGGCTTTTTGGTGGGTCTGCAGCGATCCCTTTGGGAATGGCTGTGCTCCCCCATCCCACATCAGATCCCAAAGGCAGAGCAGCCCAGGACACCCTGCAGGAAGCAGAGCCTCACGTGACTCCAACAACGTGCCTGGAGCTGCAGGATGGAGCAGGGAAAGCTCTGACAGGAACTTGCTCCCTTCCCAATTTAGAAACAGCAAAACACGGCGGCCTTGGGCAGAGAGGAAAGGGAGGGACAGGGACACTTCAGAGCCCCTCCTTCCTTCCATAGGAATAAAAAGGTTTATTTATATTTCTAAATCTTTATAAATTTCTAAATCTTATAAATATTTACATTTATAAATATTTTTATATCTTTATATATATAATTTATATTTCAGGGATCCCCACAGTGCCAGGGTATTTTATTTGCAGGGTGTCCCGATGAAGAAAGGAATGATGAATCTGACTTCATGTTCTCAGAAAGCTAATTTATTATTTTATATAATAATTAATAAAATTATTATCAATTTAAAATCAATTAAATTAATTAAAAATTAATTAAAATAAATTAAATATATATTTATTATATATTATATTAAAGAATGCTAAACTATAGTACACTAAAGAATACAGAAAGGATACTTACTGAATATTAAAAAGATAATAATGAAAAACTCATTACTCTCTCCAGAGTTCAGACACAGCTTGGCCCCAATTGGCCAAAGAGTAATAACAACTCACATCAGAAACTAATGAAAGAATCACCTGTTGGTAAACAACCTCTAAACACATTCCAGACATGTAAAACATGGAAGAATCAAATGAGATAATATTTGTTTCCTTTTTCTCCGAGGCTTTTCAGCTTCCCAGGAGAAAAAATCCTGGGCAAAGGGATTTTTCAGAAAATGTGAATGCCACACCAGGGTACATCCTGCCCCTCTCCAACTCAACTGCACTTTGTGTTTTGCTCCCCACAAATGGGAGGAATGGGTGTGAAACACCTGCACAGCATCCAGGAAAAAAGCCAAATTCCTAAATGTAAAATACAAATTTCAAAAATTTGTAAATATTTTTCCTAAAAATAAGGAGCCTGATGTGGTGTCTAACACAAGATACCACCTCTGGTTATGAACTCTGTATTGGGGATTATTGGAGCTGCCACTTAACTTCAAAACAGCAGCTTTAGCAGAATTGTTAACTTAATTTCCTGCATTGACTGGGTAATTCTGAAGTGTCCCCAAGCAGGGCTCCTAAAATTTCAGAGCAATCTCATTACCCAGAAGGATTTAGTGGTAGAATTTAAACACCACACGTAGACAAATAAAAAGGTTTTTCTACACCAGAACATAGCTTGCTTATATTTTTATGGATTTTAAAAATAGAAGTTATCTGGAAGTGTAAATGTGATGCATAATTCTTTTTTTTTTTGTGCAAGCATTCCCAATTTCATCACTACGCTCTCCTTGCTTAAGAGAGAGAAAAACTGTACTGCAGTGTTTTCCTTACACAAAAACCCCAGCAAAAGAGTATTCTACAGTATTAAAATAAAAAAAAAACCACCCTACAGTTATTTTTTTTAAAGAACACATAAAGCAATAAAACCAATTTCCCAGGAGAGCAATTCTTCATTGCAGTCAACTTTCTGCTCTGATGAAAATAAGCAACATTATGACATTAATGTGTGAATTAAGACCAGTTTGGAAAGAGTTCCTTATATCTAAACAATCTTGGAATGAATCCAGAGAACTGCTGAAGTCAAATTTGTGGCAATAAATCATGTGGAAGGAAAAAAAATATCGGAGCAACTATTAAAAAAAAAGTAGAAATGTGATATTTTAAAGACATTACCACACTAAAAAGTGCTCTAGGAGGAAACCTTTGGGTTTAACTCTTCCCTGAAAGCCAAGCACTGGGCTTTGGGGCACAAGGTGACAGCAAACAGGGGACAAAGGAGTGCAGAGCACACAGCAGCTGTGTCCCAGTTTAACTGGAGGGCAGCTCTGCCCTGACATGTCACTGCTTGAAACCCATGAAAACCAACCAAGTACCTGTTCTGCTCCAAAAAAACAGATTATTGCTCTCCTGGGGTGTCCTTCCAGGGCCCTCCAGCTGAGGATATTCTGGGATTGTATTTATCATCCCTTGGAGGAAATCTTGAATGCAGCCATCAGTAAAATCATCTCAAGAAGATCTGGGTATGGGCAGCTGAACTGCTGAGGTTTATTTAGAAAGAAAAAACTGGGAGCCACAAGAGAGAGGAGGCACAGCCCTGCACAGCCCCAGGCTTGCAACACAGATGGAATGATCCCCTCCTACCCTCAGGAAAAGATTAATGGAAGATTAATCTTTTCCTGATTAATAATCATTCCTTCCACCAGCACCTTGGCACTGCCTGGTTTCACAGGGTCCATCACCACCTTGGTGATTTCCATGTTCCAGTTTTTTCAACAGAAATCAGGCAAATATTGGCTACTACAGAAATGAAAAATCTTTTTCTTTCTAACAGAAACTAAAATCTTTTCCCTACTCTGTGACCTTCCAAGGATTTCACAATGCCTTTCCAGCCTGAAGGGCTCTGTGGGAGGGGAAGATGGGGCCTGTGTCTTGCAGAAGAGGAAACCCAAAGCTCAGTGACAGTTTGTCCCCGTTACACCACAGTGACACAGCACTGGCACCAAGGGACACTGAGCCCTGCAGAGCCCAGTTTGGTGCCACCAAGGCCATCCAAGAGGCACCATATGCTCTGCAGAGGTGGCTGTTGTACTCCTGAACCCACTGGAAATGGAAAGCTGCTCTCACCACACAGCCATGGGAGCTCCCTGCTCCAGGAGTGCTGGGGGGAATGCCAGAGCTTGAGGTGGATGAACAGAGCTGATTACACAACCAGCTGTGTCATCTGCACAGCTGTTATTGTGCATTCTGCAGAGACATCTGGACTCCCAGTTAAATGACTAATTGTGCTGTGATGGATTTCCCAGCTCCACTCTGCTCTGGGCAGTGCAGAGCTGTCCCTGGGCACAGCATGAGCCACTGCAGCCTCCCAGCTTCTGTTCAGGGACTGAAGGAAATCTCTTATTCCACCGCCTTCAAACCTCTCTCATCCTGCATATTCCAAGTACCTGTACCTGACCTGAATGAGCAGCACTTTGTACAAAACCTCTCTTCAAAGTCCTTCGGATTTCTGAGAGTCTGAAAGAAATGTCACTGTAATGAGCTGATAATCCTTAACAAAAGAAACAAATGTTTCCTCCTGCTGCTGCCCCTGCTTAAAGCCTCATTGTGTGCTGGCCTGGGAGAAAACTGCCTCCACCAGCAGCTTCTCATCTGTTTTCTCTTGGAAGCTCTAGACATGCAAATTCACATCCAGTGCTGGAGCCACAGAATCACAAATTCAAGTTAATGGGACAATTATTACTCATTTGCCTCGATTTCTTGTCTAGTCCCTGATACAGACCCACTCCCCACTGGTTTTCAGGAATACTGACACATGTGGACAAACCACAACTTATCTCTGGTGAAAACAGGTAACTTGATTAAAAAGGGACGAATCCCAGATGCCAGAATGGTTTGGGTTGGAAGGGACCTTCAAGTTCATACAGTTCCACCCCTGCAAGGCAGGGACACCTTCCACTGTCCCAGGGTGCTCCAAGCCCTGTCTAACCTTGGACACTTCCAGGGATGGGGCACCCTGGGAATAATTCCACCCTCACTGGGAATAATTCCTTCCAAATATCCCATCTAACCCTGGCAGTGGGAAGCCAATCTCCCTTGTCCCTTTCCAGCTCTCCTGGAGCCCCTCTAGGCACTGGAAGCTCTCCTTGGCTTAGTGGTGGCCATGGCACAGTGGGGACAATGCCTGGATTTGAGCATCTCCAAAGTGTGTCCCACAGAGAAGATCCCCTGGGCACAGCCCTGGTGCCACACAACAAAGTTTGCTCTGTGCCATGCAGGGAATGCTGCTCTTTGCACAGCTCTGGTACAAAACCACACACAATTCCTCCTCATCCTCATCACTCCTGTCACAGACACATCTTTTTGAAAAATCCTTTCCTTAGGATTTTTTCCTCCTGAGAAGCTGAAAGGCCTCAGGAACAAAATGTAAACAATGGTTATCTGCTGCTGGGGAATGCAACAGGTGCATCTGTGATTAGCCCATGCTGGTTGGTTCTAATTAATGGCCAATCACAGTCAGCTGGCTTGGACAGAGAGTCTGAGCCACAAACCTTTGTTATCATTCTTTCTTATTCTGTTCTTAGCTAGCTTTCTGATGAAATCCTTTTTTCTAATCTTTTAGTACAGTTTTAATATAATACATATCATAATATATAATATTATTATATGTAAAATTATATAATATTAATAAATAATATTATAAATATATAAAATAATATAGAAATCTATAGAAATAATAATATTATAATATTATAGTATTAATGTTATAATATTATATATAATTATATGTTATTATACTATTATAATATTACTATTAATTAATTATAAAATTATAATATGATATTATCGTATTATAATAAATCAAGCCTTCTGAAACATGGAATCAACATTCTCATCTCTTCCCTCATCCTCAGACCCCTGTGAACACCGTCACACCTCCCATATCTGTGGGCACAGGGGCTGTGCCCCCACACTCAGTGTTTAATTCATGCAGCAAACAAAGTGAGGGAAGTGAACCTTCCTGCCAGCATCACCTGTAGCCATGGCAACCACGGTGTCACTGCAGGGAGGGCAGAGCCACCTCCCATCCTGCCTGGAATTCTCTGAGCCCAACACAGCTCAACCACCAGCCAGGGACCCCAGGGAACCAACCCCAGGCAGGTGATGGCTTTTTGCACACACCAGTGATGGTTTCAACTTTAAATTTTAATTTATCTCGTTTTAATCCAATTTATAACTAGAACAGATGGCTTGGAATACACCTTGACTCAGCTACAGTACACAGAAAACAAAAAAAAATTGGGTATCAGAGTAACAGGAAAGGGAAGATGAACTGGAGTTTTGTCTGCAGGAGCACTTTAGATCCCACCAAACTACACAAAAAAAAAGTAATCTTTTTTACAAGCCAGAATCGTGTTTTGGAAAAGTTTCAAAGAAAAATACTTTAAAAAGGATATTTAAAACGTCAGGAAAGTGGGAGGATGAATTACCTCAGAAATGGGCACCCCCTCAAGCCTCTGCAGCAAAGATGCTCATTCTGTAGGACCCAAACTGATCAAGCACGTTTGGTTTTCCCTTCTCATTTCAGACACACTGCAAGAATCAGGGGGAGGCTCCAGTGGGGGTTAAATTTTGCATGTCACACAAGGGAATTGATGGAATATGCATTATATGTAACAGCTTTTACATTATATGGAAGGAAGAAGGAATAACATAGTGATACTTACTCCTGTACTGACAAGAGACAGCATAATTCTTTCGTTTAAGGCTAATGTTTCTCCTTGCTTCATCTTGATTCTCTTCTTATCTAAACATTTCATTGCATACCTGAAAAAAAAAAAATAAACATTCAGAAAAAGCACCAAAAATTTCCTCTGTCAGGACTATTCACTGGCAATCAGGCCATGCACATTTACAGGATCCTGTAAGCAAGACTTAAATCCAGGATTAAAAAACATCATTTCACTAAAACTAAAAACCTCCAAAATCTCCCAGAATTAACACATTTCCAGCAGAAGCCTCCTGACAGAGAAATGTGCTTTAACAAATAACTCCATGTCCAAACCATCGCAGTGAGATAGGAATTACAAAACATATATTCATTTTCTCGTACCTACAAGCAAGGATCTGCCTTAGGAATTAAATAACAGAAACTCTGTTATGGTACCATTTAATTCCAACAGTTTTCAACTCTATCAGGAAAGCAATATCTTGAACACACGCTGAGTTTTATATATTTTTTTTTTCCCTTAATTTTCTTTCTACTCAGAAAAAGTCAAATACACACAAGAAAGCTTTTTTAGTCTTCTACCATCTGTGCTACACAAATTAATAAAATTTTGCTCACAAAGGATGTTACCCTAACAACCACCAACCACAGGAGGATATGATCCAGGCTGGGTATTTTTCCAAGCTGTTGGTGAGTTCATTAATAGATATCAGTGAGAAAGACATGCGTGCTCCTCCACAGAAGACTCCTAGACATGGACACTCATGGATTTTTAGGAAATTACCACATTACAGCAGTGTTTCAATGCCCATCCCCATCCAGCCCCAGGGCTCCAGCTTTTGGGAGCTCCAGCTCCCAAAAACAGCCACGTCATTCCTGACATCAATGTGCTGGGAGTGGGGGAGTGAGGGTGAATTTTAAGTTTGCAGACTGGGAATATATTCATGTGTTCCTGCTGAGGAGTCTGTGAAGGGTGAGTAAAAATAACCCCTGACCCTGCCCTGCCCAGAGACAGGCACTGGGGGTGTTCAACGCTGATGGAAATCACAGAATGGTTTGGGTGGGAAGAGACCTTAAATCCACGAGCAGGGACAGCTTCCACCATCCCAGACTGCTCCAAACCCCATCCAACCTGGCCTTGGGCATTTCCAGGGATGGGGCAGCCACAGCTGCTCTGGGATTCTGTCCCAAATCAAGTCTGCAGCTCTAAGTGCAGCAGAGGCAGCTGGAGGGGATGGGAGCTGGGTTAGGGATTGTGACCGCGTTCACAGGGGTCTGAGGATGAGGGAAGAGATGAGGATCTGACTCCATGTTTCAGAACACTTGATTTATTTTCTTATGATATATATTATATTAAAACTATAGTAAAAGAATAGAAGAAAGGATTTCATCAGAAGGCTGGCTAAGAATAAAAGAAGAAAGAATTATAATAAAGGTTTGTGGCTCGGCTCTGTCTGAGCCAGCTGTGCCGTGATTGACCATTAATTAGAAACAACCACATGAGACCAATCACAGATGCACCTGTTGCATTCCACAGCAGCAGATAATCATTGTTTACATTTCGTTCCTGAGGTCTCTCAGCTTCTCAGGAGGAAAAATCCTAAGGAAAGGATTTTTCATAAAAGATGTCTGTGACAAGGGATGGGCACACAGGTTTGAATCAAGAACTAAACCAAACCTCTACCAAGAAGCTGAACCTCACCTTAAGTTTTTGCTTCAAATTTGAAAAAGAAGGTTGGTTTTCCCACATTTTGCTTCCCTTTGCTCTATTTATATCTAATAAAACCTGTCCTTTGCTTCACTTTTCCTGCCCTTCTCACTTCCCAGGGGTTTATCCACCTCCTGCCAGAGCCCAGCTCAGACACTCAGACATGGAGATGGCTGGGGCTCTGAGAACTGCCTGCTGAGCCTGCCCCAAGCTAAATAAAATGTTTATTTTTGTACATGGACAACTGAATGAACTGTACATGGACAAAAAGTACCAAAGCAAGAATAAAGCCAGCGTTGTTAGTAAGAGTATTAATATAAATACTTGAAGTCACTGCAGAAATACTGAATGTAATAATAGCAACATTAAGATGTCTTCCACTTGTAAAGAGTCAGAAGTTTATTATTATCAAGGATGTCAGGCACACATAAATGCAAGAGGAGTCAGACACATGCCCTGCTCACTTGGAAGGGAAATGTTTAAGGATGTGGACTAAAATTGTAGAAGAAAAGCAAGATGAAAGGCTGAGGTGTAAATAAAGAAATGTTCAAAATATTGAGAACACATCTGCATCTTCCACTGGTTTTGACAGGACATTCCCATGTGCCCAGGAGCTGAACAGGATCCACTGAGCCTGCAGTAAGCCAGGAATCAGAATTCTGGGGATTAAACCTCATCACAAAGAACTTTACAGCAATGTGATGCTGCTTCCCAGTGATTTCCTAAGAAATGATTGGAAGGATTTCCTCACTAGTCCTGAGTTTACAATCACCTCTGCCACAGTGTGGGTGATACTCACATTTTTCCAGTGTCTGCTTTTCTGCAGCCATACACTTCACCAAATCCCCCTCTTCCTATTATTCTATGTACACTAAAATCATTCATGGTCAGCTGCAAGTGGAAACAGAAACAACAAAACAGAACCTTCATTTTTCCAGCATTAAAAAAATCTACTGTGAAAACATCTAAATGATCCATGAATGTGTTGAGATCCTCAGCTGTAATTCAACAGCATTCACTGTGTTGGAGAAGGAGCCCCTTATTGTTGATATTTCCATGTACTTGGAAGCACTACAGTGTGAAGTGGCACCAAGGGGAATGAGGCTGCTGTTCCCAAAATTTGCCAGCCTCACTCAGGGCTATTTTTGCAGCCCCAGTTGTCACACAGAAGTGCAGAGGGACAAAAGCTGAGGCCAAGGGAAGGGTGCTGGGATCACAGGCTGGAGTGGGAAAGGGAGGTGGAGAGGAATTGGGGCTGGTAAAGAGCAGAAATTCTGGCACTTCAGCTCTTTCAGCCATTAAAAAATCAAAATTCCATTAGCTGAGGAAGGCAGAGGGGACGTCCAGACAGGAATCATCAGGGCTGTGCCTAAGAATAGCAGAGCAGTGACATCCACCACCCTCCTTAATGAGGCCTTTGCAGAGCAGGATTCAAAACTGAACATTCTCTTTCCTGTATCAGCCTCTGACAAGATAAATATACTTGTGAGTACTTACATGAATATTTAGCTCTACATTTTTCCATTGACAAAATCTAGTAAACTTGTCACTGCAAAAGAGAAAAAAAAAAAAGTTTAAAAGTTGTCTGAGACTATTGTGTAGAGTATTACAGGAAATGTCAAGACTCTGATATTTAAAATCTAGTCTGAGCTAGGGCGTGGGGTGGTATTTAATAAATGACAGCCTTCCTTTCACCAACCGTAATCTTACCCCCACCAAGAAAAACAATTCCTAGGCAGAGCACACTCCATGTTCTACATCCTTGGGAGAGAAAGAGAGCAGATAACCTTGTCCCTGCAAGTGCTCACTGTGTCCCCACGGCTCTCTTGCATGGTTTTCAATCATTCCAAGACGGTTTTCAATTTTTAAACAACTATGTTTGGAACTAACAAACATTTAAATTACATCAAGAGGAAGATAATTATAAAAAAACAAACAACACAGGCAGCTCGATTTATGTTAATGAACCTCCCTATACTCCAAGGAACATTTTAAAACTCATTTTATCTTAAAATAGGGAAGACATCAGCAATACCACAGGCTTTGGGAAAAAATAAAATAGTTGCCTATTCCTACATGAATAATTAAGTATTTATTTTCAAAGTAAGAAAATAACAGCTCTATGGAGGCATTTTTATAATTGTCACAGAATGGCACCAAACCAGTTTAGAAAATGGATTTGGGGGTTGCTGGTGGCAGCTGAGCTTTCCTGAGCCACACACAGGAGCAGGAAAGGGCTGCTCTGCTGAGCCAAACTTGTGCCTTCAATTCTTTATTACACAGAACATCCCCAAAACCCCAGTTCTGCCTTTTCTCAGCCCAAACTCCAACCTCTGTGTGCCCTGACTCAGAAATCCCTGAGCTTTCCAGCTGTTCCACTCACAATCCTGACTCTGATCAGGATATCCCACAAAGCTGGGTTAATTTGATTAATCATGCAATAATACACATTTTTAGCCTTATTTACAGCAGTACTGAAAGGACCTGGTTTCCCACTACAGCAGGCAGATAATTCAGGTAATATTCCATGTTCATACCTTTCCATAAATTTTTGAAATATTTTTCCTCGGAGACTATCACAAATTTCTTCTATATATGGCTAAAAAAGGGTGAGGAAACACAATTAGTGTTTAAGCAGACAATAAATGGCTTTTTTCAATCCCATCCAACACACAGCTCCTGGATTGTCCTAAAGAAGCCTCAACAAAGCATTTTAGCTTTATTTGCCTTTTGGAATCTGAGCAGCTGCCCTGAAGTCAAACACAAAATCAGCTAGAAAACCTTAAGGGGTGTGGGGGCAAAAAATTCTTCTTTCAAATGTATTTAACCAATAAATTGTCACCCCTGTGGAATCCAAACTTCCCAGAGCTGCTCCCTCATCCCTGTTGTGCTTCTCTCCTCCCTGTCCCTGCTGAGAGATCAGCACCTTGGAATCCCAGGTGGCTTTTTCCAGGGAAATCCCTCCCCTGGGTGTGCCAGGGCCCAACCCCCCCCCAGGCAGAGCTGAGACATCCCCCAGCACTGCAATCACCAATTTCAACAACCAGAACAGCTCAGGAGCACAGCAGACATCAGGCAAGGGCAACCTCCACATTTTTCAGCACATAAAAATCCATCAGATTTAGATAAAAGACACTTAAAGCTTACAAACACCCCCATGATGGATTAAGACTATTTCTCCACTGTTGCAGCTCAGTTCAACCTGACAGGATGAGCATCTTCCTGATGGAAAGTGATTTACTCTAAATCATTTAATGGCTTAAAATTACACAACTATAAAAATTCTTCTGTTCACACACCAAGGTATAGTTTGCTTTTCTAAATGTGCTTGGAAATATTATAGATAACAAGAGTAAATTGTGATTTTGACTTGGAAAAGCATTTCAATCCAACTTACAGCACAGAGTATGTACCGGTCCCATTTATTCAGTCTCTTTAAAGAGTATTTAAAAAGTCACTTTCTGTCAGAGAAGCTGAATGTTCAGACTGTGAAAGCTCACCTGGAAAAGGCTGGCTGGCACTTGTTTCTTGGCTAAATGTGTTTGTACATGATCTACAGCTTGTTTTGAGAAAGGCTTTTGGAAAAGAAAAAGGAAGATTTCAAACAGTTGGAACTGTCAAGAGTTTCATTTCAGGTCAGAGCACTGTTGTTCTTTTCCCCACACAGAAACACCGACCCCAAGGGGAATCAACAGGGCCTCCCACAGGTATATTACAGTGACAATTGTGTGAAATGTGCAGAATGATCCAGTAACAGGATTATTCTGAAGCAGAAAAGCAGGAGAGGGGAAGAAGAGGAGGAGGAAGGCAAAAATCAAAGGGGGTGATGATCCTCCTTTAACAAATCCATGAAAAATCCCATTTACAGGCACAGCTCCAGAGCCAGAAGCACTCATGAACTTTTTACTAATAAAATAATGCATTTTGGGGGAAATAAAAAAAAAATAAAAGCTTAAACCCTCCACCCAAAGCATGACACCACCAGAATAAAACACCTGCAAATCCTTCCTTCAAATGAGAGCACATGAAACTGTTAAGAACAGATCAATGGGCCCAAACTTCAGCTAGAGGAAATGGGTCTTTTCAGTGACTTTAGCCACATCTCTACACACACATATATATACACATATATATACAAATAAATTCATTTATTTCATCCTTTTGGACACAGACATTTACACTAAAGAAACATAAACCAGGAAAGTTTCCTAACACTTCCTTTGCGTGCCACTAAGTTAAATGAAAATCGCAGCACGCCTCAACTTTTACACTCAATAAAAAAAATAAAAATAAAAAAAGCATCATTCTGAATTTGGCCAACCCCAGATCCTGGATTTCAAAGGGAAATTCCTGCTGCCAGGAGGGGGGGAAAGGGCAGGATACCCACGTGGGAACAGGAGAGCAGCTCCTTCATGATGTAGGTGTCGTAGATCTGCCGGCTCCGCGACAGCCGCTCCTCCTCCGAGTCCAGCTTCTCGTACTCCTTGATCTGCAGCACAAGCACACACCACACATCTCCTTGGGATTTCTCACTCTTTGGGTCAAAACAAAGAGTTTTGGCTTGGGCTGAAATTTTATTTTTGGCTTGGGCTGAAGTTTTATTTTATTGTTTTCTTTATTGATGAAAAATCACCTGCGACAGCATGGTTATGGTGGGATTTCCCTTTAATATTGAGATTTTCCAATTGTGGAGTCCCGTTCCATTGGTGGAATCCCCATTCCTGCAGGGATTTAACTGGATGTGGCACTTGGGGACATGCTCAGTGGTGGCCTTGGCAGTGCTGAGTGAACAGTGGGATTCAATGGGCTGAGAGGGCTCTTCCAACCCAAAAATTCCCTGATCACAGCACATCAGGTAGAAATGTCCAAGAAAGAATATAAAGCACATTTCAAAATGTTCACATAGTTCAGCTACACTGTGGATCTGAACCCTAAAAGTGGCTAAAAGACAGTTTTACAAAATACATCAAGTTTCCTCAGGTGTGCTGTAGGAGATCAGTGTGTTCCAGGTGAAACAGCAGCAATCCCAGACAGTTCATTTACAGAACAAAACCTGACAACCAGTTCCAGAACAGAAAGTTCACCCAGTCCAAGGGTCCTCTGGAGCATATTTAGGGAAAGAGCTCTTCCAGAAGTGACAAAATGTAAAAAAAGATGCAAGGGGAAAGAGTCAGCACTGGCTTTCTGGACCTTCCAGGAGAAACCCTTGGATCCAGATCCCTGGCAGTGAGCAGATCTGCTCTGTGCCGCACAACCCCAGCATTGCTCAGCTTGGGAAAACACCTCCAAGATCATCAAATCCAATTATCAAGAGACAAACTGGAACCAACCTACCTCTGGAGGTGGAACATTAATTAAAGTCAGTATCTTTCTAGCTGTGCTGCTGGTGTTTGCTGACATGATAAGGCACCAGTCCCACCCCGATCTGCCATCTGTGCTGCTTCCCCCTTGATACCAATTTATAATTAAAATGACTCAAAATGTCTTTGCCCAAGAAACACTTTTAATTAATGCAATGACACAAAATAATTAGCAGTACAGGAGGAAGGCTGATGGATATCTGATTGTCTTATTTGAGCACAACCTCCTGTCCCTCAATGTTTGGTTGTTAAAGGACCCAATTCCTCAGTCAGTGTTCAGGGGTTTCAGCAGAGCCCCACAGAGATCAAAAGGATCTCCTCAAAAACTGGGATCAGAATGCATTTGTTTTCAAGTATTTAGAATCTCTTTTTTTTCCCTTTTTTTTTTCCCCAATTTTCCCCTCTTTTTCTTTTTAATTTCTTTTCTTTTCCTCCTGAAACCGATCAGGATGAATCACTCATCCTGTTAAATGCCTGATCGTGACTCCAGCTGCAGTGATATGAAATCCCTGGAGTACAGAGCTCTTCTACATCAAGCAATTTTTAATGCAGCAATGTACTCAGATTATTCTATGTGTAATAAATGCAGCAAGTAAATCAAATATATAAAAAAAAGGAAAAGCTCCTGGATCCGGTATGTCACAGAGGAAAACACAATGAACCTCTCTTTAAATATCTTTAATGGGATTTTTCCAGAAGTACATGACAAAGCACTGAAATTCTTTTGAGGCAACATTTTGCTAATAACCTAAAAATACAATTTTGAATTGTTTCAGAGATAAAGAGGCAGCCAAAAATATCTTGCTAAATAATCTGGTACAACAGGCCTTTTTGGATTACTTATGACAGTGATATCTTCAGTGTATAAAGAGATGGAAATGATAGAAAAAGATTCTTTATTGACAGCAGGTATCTGATCTGACTGAGGGAATGGAGCCTTGCTGAGGACTGATCTCCAAATTGATACCAGCTGTTGGTGCTGATAGCAAGGAAAAAAGTTAAATTCTCAGCTCATGAGTGAAGCAGCCAAGGCTATCCCAGCTCTAATTAACCCTGAGCATCAGGCACGGGCAGGTCTGCCCTGAAATCAGCACCTGGGACAGGATTCACCGGGGCTTTACTCAGTGTCACAAATGTAACAGGGAATGAATGATTGAATGGAGCCATGGAGCTCAGACCCTGCAGCAGCAAAAGCTGGGGAGGGCCAGGACATTCCTTGGAATTATTGATCCTTTGGGATGTGCCTTGCCCAGTGAAGGAGCTGACAGGCACTGTGCATCTCCTGACAAGGGACACAACTCATCCATCTGAAGCCACCTCTGGTGTCCCCTCTGCCACAGCAGCTCCTGAACCATCTGAGCAGCTCCCACCCCTCATCCCTCCACAATCCCCCCCTGCTGCCTTTTCCACAGGTGAAAAACTGCTGGGAAGGACCTGAAGGGTTTCAGTGTCACCCCAACACCAGAAAATTCATCCCAGATCCTCTTCTACCAGTCCACACTGCTGCAATGTCCCTCTCCTTCCCTCTCAGCACTCCCTGATGGAGCAGGGCAGCCCCAAAGCTCCATCACCAGCACTTACCTCCTCATAGAACTTCAGCTGAGGGACAGCTTCATCGATCTCATTCATGCAATAGTCTTTAAAGAGCAAAAATCCTGGAAAGAAAAACAGAAAAAAAAATCAGAAAAACATGTCTCATTACACTTGTAAAAAGGCTCATGAAACCACCTGAGTTCCACCATGGGCTGTATAAATCTGTGTGAGCATCCCCAATTGCCAAAGTTTAGGATTGTGATTCCAGCTCTTCATTTCCAGCACAAAAGGATCCCAAGCCTGCCTCACCTCCCACAGGTGTATTAAGCCCATTACTGCTTCCACCTGCTGAGGATTTGATCAGGCATTTCCATAATGCACAAAAATATCCTGTTCCTCTTCACAGACCACATTTTCTTCTCTTTTTTTTTTTTCCCCAGTAAAAACTAGACACTATTCACGTTTTGGGGTTTTTTTGTAAGAGATTTACCTACATTTCACTGCTGAAGCACAACCTCTTCTGCGCTCCCATTTCAGAATTACCGGTTCATGTTACCTCTAATGGGTTTTATTGCTCAATAAATTACATCAGGGTCTTTACAGTTCCTTTGCAAGTAATTTAGAGCATGACCCCAGCAGGCTGCAGATGAGAATCTTCCATTAGGAGCATTTTAATGCACTGTCACAAGCCTCATCCCATGGAAGCTCTGTCTTTCCCTGCCTCTGAGCTGGCACCTGCTACCCTGGAATTTCACACAGCAATCTGTGTCACAAATGTCCCCGTCAGTGCCAAAGCCACCCAAAGTCCCCCATTTCCTCAGCCAGACCGTGCACCTCCACCTCTCCTTGCCAACTTGGCTTTTTGAGGACAAAAAGTGAAACTTTGGGAGCTGATTCAAATTCCTTATTTCCCACATGACGGAACCAGCAGCGGCACGGAGCAGAATCCTGCTGAATGGACTGAACTTTTCTAGGACAATGAACCAAAGATTGGGTAATTAAGAGACTGAAGAGTGGCACAAACAGCTCTGAATGCAGTGAAAGAAAAATCCCTGGCCTTGTCCCAGCTCCTGGCTGGTGCCCAAAAAAACCCACAAACAACAAAAAAACACAACAATAAACCACAAAGACAACTGTGGGAGGAGTGTGAAAATATACCAACACACATTTCCAGCAGGGCCACGCCAAACATTCCAGCCCTGCTCAGTATTTTCCAAACTTTTTCAATTTAATTATGGCAGAGAAAGAAGAGGTTCCCAAGCCCATGGCACAGGGAACAATCAGAGGCTTATGCAGCCACAGGACACAGGGCTGCTCCTCCCTGAGGCCCCTTGGCACTGCACTGCAAAAACCCAGATATACCCAAAATATACAGACTGAGGGCTCAGGCTGCTCAGCCTGGGGAAGAGAAGGTTGGGGAAAGAACTCACTGCACATTCCAGGATCTGATGGGGCTACAAAGAAGCTGGAGAGGGATTTTGCATCAAAAGTTACAGGTTCTGTCTAACAAATCTGTGGAGTTTATCATAGGAGGAAGATGGACAACTGGAGTGACAGGACAAGGGGAATGGCTTCAGACTGAAATGGAAATTTAGATGAGATAAATGGAAGAAATCACTCCCTGTGAAGGTGCTGAAGCCCTGGCACAGGTTGCTCAGAGAAGCTGTGCCTGTCCCAGCCCTGAAAATGTCCAAGGCCAGGTTGGACAGGGCTTGGAGCAACCTTGGATAGTAGAAGATGCTCCTACCCATGGATGATCTTTAAGGTCCCCACCAACCCAAACCATTCAGTGATTCTACAATTCAAATTAGAGCCTAATGATTCCCCAGACTGGAATTGTTTCTGTTCCGACCTCCCATTCTATCAACAGACCCTGCACTTCCCCTGCAGCACAAAGGAAATCTCCTCCTTTGCTGCTGCTCTTGGATTGAGTGAAAAATGATCAGCCAGAAACTGCAGCTCTCACATAATGGCACAACCAAGTGACAGATGCAGCATTGAGTAAGTGACAGGAGTTTTAAGAAGTTCAGGGGGAGCTGACGAGGAGCACAATAAGCACAGTTAACAGCACACAGAAAAATAAGCCCAGGAACAGAAAGCAGGAATTAATAAAATGATAGCGTTAAGTAACAGCTAAAAAGAACCGGCAATTATTTATGAAATAAAGATGCTGACAGCTTTGGCTTTAAAGATTCCTTCTGCTATAACTATATAATTTCTGCAACAACCAGATCACTGGTTGTTAAGGGAAAGGAAAAATATTTTTTAAGAGCTTCTTCTGGCAACACCAAAGTGATGGATGATATCAATAATACACACACAGAGTGTGAGGCAGCACCCAGCTCCTCTGGGCTCCAGCCTCTGGACAACCATTTTCCCCTTCAGCTTTGTATTTACAATCCCAAGACAAATTTGCCAAGCGCCATGAATTGCACTGACTCTAATTACCAAGGCAAAATGTCTTTCAAGGAGGGATGAAGGCCACCTCTGAGGTTTGCAGAGGCTCACAAGCAGGAAGGGATGGGCTGGTGGGGAGAGCAGAATCAGGTCAGGCAGCTCAGCCATAACCAGGTGCTCACAGAGCTCATCCCCAGCTGGACAAGGTCCCTGGCACAAGGAGGGGAACCAGGTTAACCCATCTCTTTAAGACAGAACATGAATGTTTACTTCAGTATTTATTGCAAATAATTGTGTTTTTCCAGCATGAGCACAGGAATTTTGCATGAAATCTTGACTCTTATCAACAGCATCCCTGATGCTGAGTTTTTGTCTCCAGAATTCAGCCCTTCCCACAATCAAAGAACACAAATGCTGCTGGTGACCAGCCACACACTCCAGAGCCCTCATCACGTTTGTGGCCTCCACTGGACCCTCTCCAGGAGCTCCTTGTATTTCTTGAGCAGTGGAGACCAGAACTGAACAGCACAGCCCAGATGTGGCCTCGCTCAGCAGGATTAAAGCCACCTTCTCATTTTCTATTCTGTGGCATTTTCCTGTCTGTGGCTGTCCCAATGTCCCCCCAGGGCAGCAGCCACGGGGGCCAGCACTGGCCTCTGCCTCCTCCAGCAGTCTAAAGGTCACCTGCAGCCACAACACCACCTCCTCATCCCTGTCAGGCAGCTGAGAGCACGGAATAATAAATAAAATAAAACAGGACAACAACGAGGAACTCCACCATAAAACACTCGGAGAAAATGACTTATCTAATTCTAACTGGAATTTTATGAGCATCAGATTCAAGTGACCTTTTAACAGGAGTAAATAAAAATCTTATTAAAGCAAACAGGAGTGACTAGGTGAGAGAGCAGAGTTAAAAATAGCCACGTTTAGCCCCGATACAAGCGTTCACAATGTCACTGATTGAAAGGAAGCTGCATCTATTTACAGCAGGCCTGAACGTGGTCCAAAACGCTGATGTAGCCTCTTTCTAGTAGGCAAAATAGCAAATTAGAGAACAAAAATACCAAGCTGTTTCCAAATCCTCCCAAAATGTGCTGTGTATAAATACAGAACCCTGACAAACAAAGCAGCAGTGACATCTGCACCAGACACGGGCTCCTTTCCCGGGCAGGAAAAGCTTTGGGAATGTGGGATGGTGCTCAAGGCTGCCACACAGGCTCTGTCCCTGCTCAGGGCACTTGGAGGACTCCAATCTCAGCCATTCCAAAATGTGTCTCATGATCTTTCTTGCTCGGTGAGCTCGGATAACAGCAAGAAACCACGGCCAGAGGATGTCTCATACACTGCACCTCCTGTCAGGACACTGCACCAAGGTGGGCCAGGCTGGAAATCAGGAGGAATTTCTTCCCAAAAAGGGTGGTCAGGCATTGCAAGGCAATGCCCAGAGGGGTTTGGAGTCCCCATCCCTGGAGATGTCCAAGGAATTCCTGGATGTGGCACTCAGTGGCGGCGATTTGGCACAGGTTGGACTCGATGGTTCTGGAGGAATTTCCTGACCCAAATGATTTTGGGATTCTGGGGCATCTCCTCCCCAGGAATGTCACTTATGTAGAGCTGCCACACCACAGTGACATTACAGCACAGCTGTGTTTAAATCCAGCTGCGGGTGTGTTCAGCCTCCTGAAACAGCCCTCAGTGACCTGTAGATCCACCAGCACCAGGAACAGATCTGGGTCACAGACACAAACATTGGGACAAAGTCTCAAAAAACCACATAAAACCTGTGATTCCCACCAGGCTGCAATTGTCACACCAGGCCAGGCTCAGACTGCTGCTCTGTGCAGTGCCCACACAGAGCTGACACAGCACACAGCAATTCAGGCCACCTAAGAGCTCCACAACTGAGAGAACCACCAATTTCCCTCTCCAGGAACAAAGATCACCGGGGAAAGCTGTGTAGGAATTGTGCTCTGGCAAGGTGCAAAGCCACAAGAATCCTCCCAGCCCAGAAAGCATCACACATTCCACTCCTTTCCTTTCCCTTTTCCATTCTTTCCTAATTGAGCCTAATGTTCACTCCCTTTGCATTAAAAAAAATACATTATAGCAGACTGAAACATATTCCTGTGCATGGAAAGCAGGGGAAAAGAACAAACTGTATTTCATGAGGACGTGCATCCAATGGTGAGGAGAACAGAACAATTTCCCTAGAACAGAACCAAACTGAGCTCAAAATGAGGCTGCAAGTTGCCAGGTAGCCTGTTTAATGAGGTCTAGAAATCATTATATGAAAATAAGCTTTGGCTAAAAGGTTTTAAGCGTCATCAGAGAAAAACTTTTTATTTCCAGGCCTATTTTCCAATAGCTTTTCACCCAGGGAAATCATTGTTGAAGTTTGATCAGCCCTCTTTCTAAACACCAGACTTGTGCATGCCTGGAATTCCTGCAGGAAGAGGAATCCAGCACTGACACTGGGGACAGAATGGAGGAATATTCACAAATTCTGTGTCAAATCCCAAAAGCTTGATCCAGGTAGAGCATCTCAAGCAGTGAACACACAGATTTACTGAAAGCACTCAATTATCATTATTTAGGCTGCCCAGAGCAGCTGTGGCTGCCCCATCCCTGGAAATGTCCAAGGCCAGGTTGGATGGAGCTCTGAGCAACCTGGGATAGTGGAAGGTGGAGCTGGATGAGCTTTAAGGTCCTTTCCAACACAAAG